TGTCAGACATCGCTCAGGAGTTCTTGTTTACCCGTGGAGGCAGAATAAGAAATAAGTGGGTCCCTCTCCTGACAGCCACTGAGCTCTTGATTCACTCTGGAACCTCCTTTGCTCTAAAAATCGTTCCCAGTTAGTGATGCTGGGTGGAACCAGATCTGAGGGGTTGGACATTCTATTCCTCTCCCCGCTGGTCACAGTTAAAAACTGCATGCACTACTAGCTTCCTTTTTCTTTTCTGTGTCTTTCCAATTCCATTTGATTCAAATATTTGCTGAGTCCAACAGAACTCAGGATAATCAATTCTAGGCTAGGCTACAATAGCAAACCCTGAAACCCCAGTGGTTCAGCCCAACAGCCGTCTATTTCTCACCCTCGCCAAGTGTGATGTGAATTGTCAGGGGCTCTGTTTTGATCGGCGATTCAAGGATCTAGGATTCATCCTTCTTAAGCCATCTCATCTTAGCAGAAGGCTTTAAAGTTCTCCAGGTCAGGGGAAGACAAAGTGGGAGAACCTGCTCTTGTCACAGCCTCAAGCCAGAACAGACCACGTGACCCCAGCTCAGTTATTGCTGTATTGACCATGCTCCCAGCTCAGCTGGGAGACAACGCAGAGAGGAGATGAGGGAGGATTTGTCAGGTGCTTCTGTCTCTGCCACAGGGTTTTGGAAGGAGCATGCACTGGGTGGGATGTATTTGAATCCTATGGTCCCTACTCTGGGGAAGATCACAGTATTTTCACATAGGAGACCACAACCCATGTGGTAATGAACTATCAGCCCAGGTTATTAAGCACAGTAAGAGAAGCAGAAATAAAGGTCCTGGTAATCAGGTAGGGGTAATTAACAAACAGTATGAGCCGAAGAAGAGAGGGTGGAACAAAGGGGATATTTCCAGGAAGATGGGAGGCATGTGCTTAGTTTGGTGGGGGGATAGGAGAGAGTTCACCAAAAGGACATGTCAGGAAAGGAATCCAGGGGAGAGCCAGTACATATCTGTGTCACCTCAGATTCACCTGTGAGCCACTTGGATGTTTTATCACTGATTAAATTTTTCTCTTCCCCTTCCTGAATATAGTGTTGATGACCCAAAAAAGAAATTCATTTCTGAAAGCCTTTCCCTGCCAAGACCCCACTATCAGAAAGTAAACAAACCACAAATCCCTAGTGTATGGCATTTGTCTGGTGTTAGCTTTCAAATGTGCTCAGAGAGCAAACCTCTGTGAGTGTTCATGTGGGGACACCACTGGTGGCTCACCTGTCACTGGATGGCATGAGCTGCATCTGCAGCCAACTTACCCCAACCCTGACCACTCCCCCTATCCCATGGGGGTATGACATGACAAGAAAAATACCCAAGAAGCAGAGATTAGGAAGCCTATATCTTATCTGGCTGACTCACCCAGAGTGCCTGCCTTTTCCTATGTGAACTGAAAGAAGCCAATCAGAGCAGGAATTCTTAGCTACCACTGCACGTTCGAATTTCTATGGAAGACTGCAAAAATCCCAGTGTTCAGACTGCACCTGGAAGTGGGATCCAGGCATCCAACAAAGCTTCAGGTGATCCAGTGCAGCCCAAGTTGAGATCCTTGGCATTTGATCTGAAAATCCAATAGACTAGCTTAGGAGGGGTGAGCTCCCCATCACTGGATCTGTGTAAGGCAAGGTGGAAGAGCTCTTTGCCAGGATGTATGGGAGGATCCAAACATCAGCTGCTGCTCTTCTGGAATCCTCTTCATTATATTCCCCCGCCTTTGTTCCCCAGGGTTCTCCCAAGCTCAACTTAGCCCACCGAGCATAGAGTGCTGAGGTGGCTTAAGGAAGGGCTCCTTATTCAGTATGCGCCAGCCTCAGCATCCAGCATCCCAGAGCTAGCATGGCAGCTCCTGATTGTTAGCTGGTGATTAAGCAGATGACCACATGGGGCTCTCCCAGCACCATCCCATTAGACCAGCTATGTTCCTGGCCACCCATGTATCTGTGGGGACTGAATCACAAAGGAGAAGGAATATGAATTGGGAATCAGTTCTTATGTACTGCCTGGAGCCTCTGTCTGTGGTGTACATACCCTGTGAAGTGCTGGGTAAGATGCTGAGAGATGGCACTGAAGTAGGAGCAGACCTCAGGAGGGTGGCAGGGAAGGAGGGGAGTCACCATGAAGTACAGTTAAGAAGGTTTGGAGAGGGAGAAGTGGGCATGAAGTGGACCTTTCAAACCAGGAATTTAAAAACTTCTGTAGAGCTCAGAGATGAGTTGCTCTGTGGGGCAGTTATACAAAAATCTGCTCACAACGCAGACATCTGAAAACACCCACCTTCTACAATCAGTTCTTCTAACATTATGGGAATTCTTTGGGAATGCACCATTCTCCACCTGGTCAGAAGTTCCCCAACCTCAGGGTCCTGGGAAAGTTCTCTTATCTGACGTTGGGCCAGATGATACCAGATGCCCCATCAACCCAATACCACGCATGACCTGGGAGCTTGGCTTGTCCATCCTCCTGGACGGGGGGGGGGGCCCAGGAGAAATCTCCAAATGACCGTTCACTTCTTCAGCTACCATGGGCCCCTTAACACAGAGACAGTAAGTGAGTGAACCTGCCAGGAGTTCACAGCACAACAAGAAAAGCACACAAGCACACATGCACACTGCAGCCCCATGAGACCACTGCCCCAGGAAGAGACTAGTACACAAGTGACAGCAGGTGCCAGAGGGACACACTTAGTACAGCCCAGAAACCAAGGAAAAAGAACAAAGGAGTCTCAATGTGATTCTTGAGAGGAGGAGTTGCTATAGCATAGTGTCTTGGGGAGCTGTGCCATCATGCTGGGAAGGTGGGTACAGTGTGGGGTGAGGTGACACTGGAGTGGGAGGGGGCTAGTTCTTACAGAGATTGTGTTTATGCTCTGATGCTTGCATTACTCCTGGATCAGGGAGAAGTTTCAGAGAGAAATACTCAGAGGACTACTAGCAGAGGGTACATGGCAGTGGTGGGCTGCCTCCATAGTAACTTCTCATTGGTGCAGGGAAGAAATGACGAGGTCTGGATCTGCCCACAAACACTCACTCCTGTTCTATTCCGATTGCATTGTGTTTAAAAGTTACTAGATTCCAGCAGGGAATTAGATGGAAGGACAAAGGCAGAGAACAGGACAAAGACTCCTTCCATCTGATTCCCTGCTGGAAAATTCAGGGAGTTCTTGGTTTAAGATAAAATAAAAGGAAGTACAAGAAAGTGGTCTCCAAGTGACAGGATTGTGTAACAACCATAGTTGTCTAAGTAGTCACCTAGCAGGCTCCCACTGTTGAGTTGAAGGGGTGAGTGTGAATGTGGGAATCCTCAAAATGCATTTTATTTAACCTAGTATTATGTGGATTATTAGGAATCCTAAACCTCATCTGATTCAAAGATGGCTAGCTTCCTCTAAAAAAATTAAACAACAAAAAAAAAGGATTTAAGATTAACACTGGAATGTTTTGGGATCTCCCTTTTCTGAACTGCAGAGAAAAAAACATTTTGAAAAAAAAGGGGGCGTAATTTGGACTTCTGAGAAAAGTGCCCCTCCCCATCCACCCCAACACTTTAACTAAAAATACTGTGAATAATACAAAATGGTTTCATCTTTTAGAATATGTAAATGTTTCTTGACAAGCACACCTTCACTTCTGGCAAGAATTTCATTGGAGCATTTGATTATAAACTACGCACATCTCTGGGCTGCACTGTCATCAGAAGCTGCATTGGCCTTTGCTTCGGTTGAAGAACAGATGTTTCTTACAGAGGCAGATGGGAGACTGTGGGATGGAGTCCCATGGAGGTTGTTTGAGGACAGAAAAACGTGGACCACATCTGGTCCAGGGACACGGTGTTCAAGAATCTGTGGTCAAAAAAGTCTTCCTACCAGGGTGTGAGCATTGCTTTTGCAGAGTTTCAGCCCAGGGTGGATGGAAGCTTTAACTAGAAACAGAGGATGATGACAGACAGAATGGGTGTTTTCCCACTTCTTGAGAAACTTCTAGATTGTCTTGGAATGTTGGAACCCAGAGGTTGCCTTGGAGGTATGGGGACTGTACCATGTCATTACATCAGTGGGAAACACGAGGACCAGCAAGGAGAAATGATGGCCCAGAGGCACCCAGACAGTGGGTGACAGAACTGTCGCGTTTCGGACCTCCCTTCTCCCAGCCTGTTCGGTATTTATCATCTGATCCTTTATAGAAAAAGGTTGCCAATCTTCTTTTCAGCTGTGGGCAGGCCTGAGTTCAAGCCTGTGTGACCTTGGGCAAGCCACTTTTAATCTCTGAGACCCATTTTTTGCATCTGCACTAAGGACACACTTGTTTTATGATACCATAAAATCATGGGTGTGAAGCACCCAGTTCAGTTGCTTGATCAATGGTGAGTGTCAGCCCCCTAAGAAGGCCACTGGAGATCCATCACTTGATTGGTCTCTAGAGTGACAGGAGGCAGGCTTCTGGGCAGGATAAAATTTTCCCTCTTCCTGGAATAGACGATTCACAAGCTCACATTTCTTTCTTTTTTTTTTTAATTGGTTCTTTTTAGTTATGCGACAATAGAATCTATTTTGACATAATTATACAAGCATGGACTATACCTTGTATACTGACCCTAGTACCTCTCTTTCCCCTCTTCTCCCCACCACCACTCCTTTCCCTCTATTGATGGTTCTGCAATCTACCTATTTTTTTAATTAATTTCTTGTGGATGTACATGATGGTGAGATTCACTGTGGTGTATTCATATATGTACACAGGAAAGTTCTGTCAGATTCATTCCACTGTCTTTCCTTTTCCCACCCCACCCCTCCCTTCCCTTCCTTCTCCTTTGTCGACTCCACTGAATTTCTTTTCTCCCCCACCCTTTATTGTGGGTAGCTTCCACATATCAGAGAAAATATTTGACCTTTGGGCAAACTCACATTTCTTTAACACTTCTTTTTTTTTTCACTTTTTTTTTTTTTTTTTACTTTTTTTTTTTCTCAGATACTGGCTGACCAACAAAGTCCACATCAAAAGACCCACCACCGGCCTCTTGATGTATACTCTGGCCACACGTTTCTGCAATCAGATCTACCTCTACGGCTTCTGGCCCTTTCCACTGGATCAGAACCAGAACCCCGTCAAGTACCACTACTATGACAGCCTCAAATATGGCTACACCTCCCAGGCCAGCCCCCACACCATGCCCTTGGAATTCAAGGCCCTCAAGAACCTGCACGAGCAGGGGGCATTGAAACTGACTGTCGGCCGGTGTGACGGGGCCACGTAAGGTGGGCACCCCATGAGACTCAGTGGCTCACATTTCCTGCCAGCTACACCACAGGCAGATGGGAGTCGGGTGGCACAAACAATAGAACAAGCAGGCTAGTGGTTTCCTTTGTTAAAGTGTAAAACAGTGACCAGAATATATATATCTGTACCTGCATATATATATTGACCTGAGTATTTATAACTGTGTGGTGTTCATCTAGCATTAGGCAGATAAGCCACAGGAAGAAGGTGTGGAGAACCCACCTGAACCAGATTGAAACTCAGTCCATCTTTGGGGGCGGAAAGACTTGACATGCAAAGAAGCCGGTCCCATGACTTTGAATGACAACCTGCCTCCTCAGTTGGGAGGATCTTTGGGCTCGTGGATGAATGGAGAGCCACCTATTGTCAGCTGCCTGGACCTCTGGGATATGTGGATTCTGGGTAGCCAAGACCCAGAGAGGACAGTTTGACCCAGTCTAAAGCCGTGCTGTTCACGGAGGAGCGGTTAGAGAATTTAGCTGGGCAAAGGAGCACAAAGAAGCCAAGCAGAGGCCACAGCAGAGCTGAGGGCCATACTTCATGAACTTAGAGTTTGATTGCCCAACGGACAAGCTGTGGGTGACATACATGTCCCCGACAGGCCTCCACAGCTATGGAGAGAAGGCTAAAGGAGACACGATGGACAGTCAATATTCTGGCTAAGCAAGAACCACCAAGAACCTCAGGTGGAGCAGGCAGATGACCCTAAAGAGGTAGAGTGCTCTAAATCATGCTTGTGAAAAATTGAGAACTTCTTCCAAGGGCGTGCTCCACCTCAGAATAAGGAGGAAGAGTGTCCAAAATGTGGTCATTGTGTGGGGTGTTTTTTGAAGCAACTGAGGTCTGCCAAGAAGGACACCATGGGATTTTTACCTTCTAGGTTAGCCTCCCTCTCACCCTCTTAGAATGTCACACGAGAAACTGTATGTCCCTTGTGCCACCAGGGGAGACACAACAAAAAATTTGAAAGGGCACTGTCAAGATAAATGTCATCCTTTTTAAAATATATATGATTGCCTTTCTGGGGGCCTCACAGAACCCCAGAATATAAGACCTGAAAGAATGTGAAGCCTCCAGCCCCGTGTCTCTGCAGCCACTCTCTTTATTTACTGTCTGCATCCTGCGCTCTGCAGGGCCCCTGCAGCCAGACTGGCTGTATCAATGTCACTTTCTTGCCACTATCGCATCCTAATGGTCATACTCACCCTCACAGAGCTCCTCATGAGGTTTTTGGAGGAGGTTTTCAACTCTGCAGGGAAAGATTCCAATGTCCACCCCACACCCACCACCTTCTTCTCCCCACAGAGGCAATGATGGTGGAATTTTGCAAAATTCTTTTTTTTCCTCTTGCTAAGATTCTCATTTAAGACTTTTGTTTTTATGAAAACCCAAAGTCAAATGCTGGACATAATCTCCTGCAGAAATCTGGGCTCCATGCCAATAATTTAGGGGCTAGAATCACAGGTCACACGTAGAGAAGCATTAGTCAGCTTGATTTGTTAGATGTATTCCCTCGCCTGAAAAATAACAGTGTTTTAAAACATATTTGAAAGATAAGTAAAAAACCATTATCTTGAAGGTGAAGAGAGTTAAGGAAAGTAATCAAGATCTGCGCCCAAGCATATGAGACTGGACATAATTAATCAATGGCAAAGAATGGCTGATGGGAAACAAATGGAAGTGGGGGAGGATACCCAAGCCATTAACCCACACACAGACACTCCAGCCCGAAACCAGGACAGCCTCCATACATCTCTGCTTTTGTCCTCTATGTTCTTGTTGTTGCTTGAAGCCTAAAGTTTGGGATTTGCATTATAAAATGAATATTTAAGAAGGCAAGCTCTCTAATGGCCTCGGTGGGAACTGAGTGGTTCAACCTCCTCATGAGCAGTGGAAATAATTAGTATCATAATTTACACGTCTCCAGAGCCTTTTGTTTTGAGGTTCTCAAAGGCCCTAGAAGAACATTTAATTTCTAAAGTTTACAGTGCCCCGGGGAGCAGGTAGAATTACCAGCCAAGGCCTTGGGTTAGCCAAGGCCTTGGGTTAGCCAAGGCCTTAGATTCCAGAATGTTCCATGGTAAGTCCCAAGGTGATCCCAGATGTCAAATCCTAGAGTTGGCTATGAGATCTGTCCAGCAGGCCAGTGCCCTCTGTCTGCAGGAGAGTTAGAGGGCCAGAGCACTTTGGAGAACCTCATAGACAGGTTCTTTCCAAAAAAACACTAGAGGCCCCAGGACCATCCACACATGTACCGCTCCCTAATAGAGCTAGTCTTGTGCTGCCAAAATGCTTTGGCTGTGTGGTGGCAGGAGCTCCAGGGGACATCGCTTTCCCTCTCTCCTCATCTTTTTCCACCTGGGCAAGCACAGCCAGGAGGCTGGCTGTCCTTCCTGCCTATTTAAAGCTCACTTGGAGCCAAGGTTCCTCTGCAGTCTCTGGCACAGATTGGCTCACCTTGGGTGGACCCAGGGAGTCACAGTCTGTACCCCTTACCATGATCTGCTGCCTCGTCGCTACAGCCAGGCTTTCCATCATCCTCAGCTGGCTCAGTCACATCTCCAGTCGCCCACCATCACCCACCTGAGGCCCTTCAAACCTTTTCCATTGGCCTCAAGCCCCACACTCCACCTCCTCCTTTACTGAAGAGATGGAGCCCTCTGAAATGAGATCTGTCCTCAAAATGTCTCTTGGGCTCTCCCCTCACCCTTCACCTTCTTCCTCCCATTTCTGAGGAAGTAAGGTTCCTTCTCTGGCCAGATGTGTTTTCTCTCACCCGCTCCCCCCACCCTCTGCCATCTCTGTCCCCTGTATGTACCAGCATGTGATCATTGCACACATCCTGGCTCCTGTAGCCTGTTCACTCACCTCCCTTCACCACCAGACCTGGGCAGGGCCTCCAGCACCCACTGCTGCCCTTCCTCCTGACAGTGTGCCTCACCTTCCACATCTAGCCCACTCTGAGGCCAATGTCTCAGCACCCTCCATGTTGCCAACTTGAAAGGTTACTTTTCACCAAAAAAAAAAAACCTAGAGTGACCCATCCTGGATAGTGCCTGGCATCAAAATGACGAGGATGCAGATGCCATGTTCTGGTAGCTTTTCCCCTCACTTCCCAACCCCTCCTGACCATTTATTTATGTATTTATTTATATATTTATGAGTTATTTATTGATACTCCTACGTTGATCTAAAAAAAAAGCAATCAAGGTAGATCTGACCATTCTTCTCCTTGCACCACAGTGTAGACATTCCTTGTACTGATAGCCTCCCCTCAGGTCCCCTAAACACTCCATCGGCAGCCTCACACCTTCCTTTAGATCCAGCCATCACCCCTCTCCAGGCGCCTTGCCCTCCACTCCCCTCCACAGCCCAGCCCCTCTCCCCAGCTCCACACTTACTGTGCGCGAAGCTTGTTGACACCTCCTGTCTGCTCTGGAAGCAGCACGATTGACTCAGCATGTTCTGAAGTAAGGGAGTCCTCTCTGTCTCCCCTTCCTCCATGATCCCTCCTTTTTCTGTTGGAAGACCCATGACTCCTTCAACCATGCAGCCTGAGACCCTAAATCATCTTTGACTCCTCCTCCACATATACCCTTCTTACTCCTTCTCACTAGCATCAACTTCACCTCTTTAACTGCCCTTTGGATCTTCCAGCCCCTCCTCTCCCACATTTCCCTGTGCATGCTTCCATGTTCTCCAGTCCCTCCTGAGCATGCCCAGTGATTTCCACCTCCAGCTCTTCAACAAACCTAAGTTCTCCTGGCCCACAATCAAACGTGCAAGTCTTTGTCCTGATATTACCGACCACTCGATAAGGTTCCATTCTTCCTTTACACCCTACATCAGCCAATCCAGAAAAGATGTTGTTCCTTGAAGGGACACCTGCCTTTCCTGTCTCTGTGCCTTTGGTCTTGCAGCTCTCATCCCCTGGACCGCTCTTGAGTTCCCACCGAGGCCCTCGCAGAGACCACATCTTTCATGAAGCCCCTGATCCACCAACCGCTGGGATCTCTCCCTCCGCTGAACCACCGTAGCACTTTATTTGTACCTTTCTCATGGCACTTACCATATTCTGCCTTGTATTATAGTTATTTGTGCACTTGTCCTATGACTGTTCTTAGACTGTAAGCTCGCCAAGGGCAGGGACTGTTTTATTCATCAGTACTCCATCACAGCACCAGGTGTGGTGCCTAGCACACAGCAGTTGCTCAATAAATGTTTGTTGGATTAAATCCTGAATGTCTGTAGAGGCCTTTATAATTAATGAAGTTATTTTACTGCCATAAGAACTCTCAAAGAATGATACAATTCAGGCCAAAGCAGAAATAATTATCCCTATTATGTAGATCATCAAATTAAAGTAAAAACCTGCTAAGGACTCCTGCCTCACTGGCAGAATTCTCGCCCAGGTTTTCTTACCCTCACTCCAGGGCTTTTTCTGTTAAACCTTGTGGTTGAGTCATTGCAAACTGAAAACTGACCCTCAATATAGGCCAGGCTGCCCATAGGTGTCTCCTTCTCAGGTTGAGGGCAAACCTCAGTGTGAACCCCAACCCCTGTGCCCATCAGTACAACAGAATCTACTCCTTTCTGAGAAGAACGAAAGTGATCTGGGTTTTCTCAGGCCTGGGGGGTGAAGCTGTAGGACCTCATCAATCATTCCTCCTGCCACGATCACAGAGTAGGAAGCCATTTGTCCAGATGGCAGAGAGACCAAGAGCTCTGAGGGGCTGCTGTTTGATGAATCTCTCCATGCCTAATTAAGGCGCCCCTTCCAGAATGAATGGAACAGGGTAGTTTATTGATGCCGGTCAGATGGGACTCCAGACGTGCCTGCTGCTTCATGAATGCCCTTAATAGCATTCCCAATGACACCAACAGCCTGCACCGCCCGCTGTCTCTCCCAGCGATGCTGATGTCATCTCTTCCCACCTTCACTCCCATCTGTCCCCTCCCTTCCCCAAAGCGCTCTCCTTGGCAGGGGGAACCCAGACAGCCAAGTTGCAGGCTTTCTTCCTGGCACCTGAACCCCGACCTGGAACAATGCCGTGAAATGCCAACAAGGAAACAAGACGGGGGTTGGGGAAAGCGGGCACTTGATGCCATCCCTCAGGGAAGCAAAAAACAAACGGGCTTCTGTTCTGGTGGTGGCCCATCCACAACAATAGGAGGTTTCCATGGTTACTGTCCAGAAGCAGTGTTATAGTTGCCTTTGGGCTTTGTGATGAGGGTAGTTTAATTTCCATTCTTAGCAGTCCAGGTGGTGGGGCAGTTTCCATGTATGGTGCATTGAGCCATCCAGTCCCCAATCAGAGTTTGCCTAGAATCACCCCAGTTGTCATTAGCCAAAGCCCAATAGAGTCACCCAACCAGGACACTAAAGGGCTCTGGTGGCCTTTCTACATCTTCCTTACCACTTTCTCAGCCACCCCAACTTCCCCTAGAAACTGGCATGGGAAATGGGGCTCCTTAGAACTGTGTTCCAAGAACTGTGTCATGAAAGACCCCACTGCCCCAGCCAGGAGAGCATTTTCAAATATGAAATTTAAAGAAGGTTCTTCAAAATTGTCCTAGCACCATCTAGGAACAGCCAATCCTTGGGGAATTAAAAGAAAATTTGACAGCCCAGAAGTGAGAAAATTGTGCCACGAACCTTAGCACATTGGGCCCCCTTCCCTGAGGAAGGGTGCAGAGTCGTTTGCATCATATTCAGGTGAGTCAAGTTGGGACAGATGCAGGAACACACTTCAGTGAAGTTTAAAGTGCCTTCATTTACTAAAAAGAGATGGTAAAGATAGAGCCTTTGGGCAGAGTTGGTGAAGGGACCGTCTGAATCATTAACCCTTATTGATGGAGGTTGGATATTGCAGGGCGGCCATTCTGAGGCAAGCTCATTGGCTCTAGGAAAGCCAGGCTTGTGCTTTCTTGTTACAGTGGCCAAGGTCTACAGGAATATAACTTGCTGTAACAACTACAGGATGGGTTGCTTGGCTGACTATTGTGTTCATAAACACCACATTCTGCACAAGAGCTCCGGGACAAGTACCAGATAACCCAGAAGCCTGTCATTCCAGCGCCCAGGGGACATGGATAAGGCCCCTTGATTCTGATATTTTCTCATCTGTAAAATGGGGAAGACACCCACCTGCCTCCTTCAGGGACTGAGTGAAAATTCAAATCAAGAATGGGTTGGAGAATTGGGGTGGGGAGGTGTGGAGAGGCTCAGGGCTATGGAGCAAATGAAATGTGTGCAGCTATGAGTTTTCAGACTTGTGCTTATCCAACATCGATCATGTCATTGCCCTGGTTAAACCTGTTAATAGCTTTCCTTCACCCTAGGAAGAAAATTGCAAGTACCTTAATGTTGCTTAAAAGGTCTTGAGCTCTCCTCACCTCTGACTCACTGTATTCCAAGCACATAGACCTTTCTGTTTTATTAAGAACGTTCCAGAATTATCCTGGTGTCAGGGCCCTTGCTCTTGTTTTCCCCTCTGTTGCTTGCATGCT